CAACTAATTAATCAACTACCCTAGCTAATTAATTATTACAAAACCTTAACCAATTAAGAAAATTAATTAAGCTACAAAACAGACTAAGTATGAAACTAAAGAGACTGCCACAGCCCTGCCTCGGAATGATTGAATGATGCATGCTCAATCGCCTCGCTCAGAAATCCGTTGCCATGCCCTATGTTGCCTCTATTTGCACACTTATGCTCCTCTAAGAACTGTGAAAATCTTTGTGATGCTTCTGAACCACTTTATGGATATGCTGAGAGGCCATCGGCCAAAAGATAGGGCCATCGGCCAAGGAAAAATGGTCATCGACCAATTGTGAGTCCGTCGGCCAAAGATTGTTAGTCGATCGGCACTGCAGATAGCTGATCGGCCATCTCTTCCTGCAGACTGCTCCTTTTGCTGCAACAGAGGGAAAACAAGGGCCTGGCAATACATTTGCAAGAAAATGTTGTGCACCTACACCCCTTATCATGTTTGAGACTCAAAGGAGTGTAGTGTTCAACCCTCGAGCCATCAATCACGTATTTCGATACATGATGGCCAAAGAGGCTGAATTGCACAAATCAATATGGAATGAATGCACAAAAACACATGAATGCCTCACATTCTATCATGTTGAATCAAGAGTGTTGGCGACCGAGGATTGAGGCACATTTCATCACTTCAAGTACAAAACATCCCTCGGTCCTCATGTTTGGTTTGACACCCCAAACCAAACACAATGCAATGCAGCATGGAAAAACTATGCAATGCAACACATGCATGCCAAATGCAATATGACTCAAACATGAACGCAAGGCTAAGGTAACAAGCATGCCAAATGCAATGCAACCTAAACAAGCATGTGACAAAATGCAAACTAGCAAGCATGCAAAATACAACTTAAACTAACAAACATGCATGGCATGCAAAGATGGACAAGCATGCAACAACATGCAAACTAGCAAGCATGCAACAACATGCAACATGTCAAGTATGCAACAACATGCAAAGATGGACTTAAACCAAAATGGGGAGACCTCAGCCATGCCTAAATCAATGGCCAAAACGCTAAGAAATGATGGAATGAAATGCAAAATAAGCATACATGCCGATTGGCCTATCACTTAGGCATGAGGACCCAACTCTCAAACATGAGCAAGGAGTGACAAACATGATAATGTGGAAATGAGGTAAGCTCTGAAATCATGCAAGGAGTGGTGCCAAACCACTCAAACAAGTCAAGCATGGCATGCAAGAGGCTTAAAACTAGAAGCTAGCAAAAGGGACTTGCACTAAGGCTATGCAAAACATGAAGCAAATGGAAAGTACAACCCAAAACAGTCCCAAGGCAGGTCAATACAAGACCAAAAACAAGCTTGAACCTAGCCAACACAAACTAGAACAAAAGTCCAAAAGGCATGAGGCATGCAAGGCTAACAAGGGGTATTACACTACACCTATTACAACCGAACATGGCATGATTTAACCAATAAAAATTAGAGTTACGGCATGTCAAAATAAGCCCAAAAACCCACTGAGATGGCATCCCAAAAGGCCTAAGCATGGAGGCATGCACAATGATCCACTCTTAAGGCATAAAACTCCAACTCTTCAAAGCATTGAAAGGATGAAAAATGCAAGTGTATGGCTACACCACATGGACTAAAATCACATATGAAATGATGCCAAATCATGAAAATGGTCAAAGCAATGCATGCTAATGACTTGGACACTCAAAGCCAACAAGCTAGATTGAACCAAGGCTATACAAAACAATTCTTCAAGAGGTTCCCAAAGTTTGCCCCTACTCCGACTGTATTCGAGGCAGAGGTTCTTCGAGAGATAGTAGATAAAGATGGTATCCCCATGCTCGGTACTGATGGGTCTCGGACCTTTGAGAAAGCGAAGTCTTGCCAGCCGTTGATTACACGTTGGTCACGTACCATTTCCACCTTATCCTTGAATACTCTAGTGGATGATCCCCGATGCTTTGTGGCACGACCGTATGTATGCCCACCGGTGGGTGTGGCAACACCACTTATTTATCATGGCTCCTCCTGCTCGGTGTCCTTTCCTTTACCGAAGAACATCCCTGCGCACTTTGTTGATATGGTGATAATGACCCGTCCGGGTTCATTACCGGTATGGCATGAGGAAGGCACTGATATTGCCGTTTATAGACCTGATCGTGTAGCATGTCAATTCGGATTTGACCAATGTGCCTCGGGGCCAGCACCTCATTTGTTATCATTTTCAGAGGGCTACGGGCGCTTCAGTCGCGGACTTGTACACACTATGCTTCCTATATCCAGCTCTTTGACGATGCTAGGCTTGAGCCGAGTAGGGGGTTTCACCCCTTCTTTCAGGCGATATTGGAGGAAGACCGTGTTCGTTTTGAGTTCCCGAAGGTCTCGGCTGCGCGTCTTGCCTTAGAATCTCTCAACTTGTCTGTTTTGTGCTTGGTTGTGGACCAAGGACTTGTGGTTTTGCTTCTAAGGGAAGAGGGTGGCTTGTTGGCCTTCCCCACAACCCATCGGCTAAGGCATGATGCCATCGGCTTTGCTTTCTTGTCATCGGCCAAAAGTGTTGGCCGATCGGCACTATTTTTGGTCGATCGATCATATTTTTGAGCCAAGACCTTTTCATCTGCTTTTTGCAAATATTTTGTGCCAGTTGTGACAACTGGTGGGCACAATTCTCATCCTCCATACACGTGTATGGAGGATGAGAATTGTGCCCACCAGTTGTCACAACTGGCACAAAATATTTGCAAAAAGCAGATGAAAAGGTCTCGGCTCAAAAATATGGCCGATCGACCAAAAAGAGTGCCGATCGGCCAACACTTTGGGCCGATGGCAAGGAAACAAAGCTGATGGCATCATGCCTTAGCCGATGCGTTGTGGGGAAGGCCAACAAGCCACCATCTTCCCATAAAAGCAAAACCACAAGTCCTTGGTCCTCAACTAAGCACAAAACAGACAAGTTGAGAGATCCTAAGGCAAGGCGCACAGCCGAGACCTTCGGGAACTCAAAACGAACACGAGCATGGATGATCATCGAGTGTTCAAACGATGATGTCCAAGTCTTGAGGACGGTCAAAAATGGGGTGTCTACAACTCTGCTGTTTGTCCTCCAGATGTAGATGTGATGGGCAGCTTCTTCAAGGGTGTTTTTAGGAGAGATTGAGTTTTTTTTTTTTTTTTTTTGTATTACTTTCTTGCCCCTTTCGGTAAAAATGTTTTATCTAGGACAATGCAATGAAATGACAAAATCTTTGCTATTTGGAGATTTTCGCATTGTTTTCTCATTCTGCTTGATAAAATATTTATTTCAAATGATATAATGGAACGAACAATCATATGCACAAGTTTATAAAAGCTGAAATATTCTCATTAATTTTTCAACTTTCTTGACAAAAGTATAATAAATTCACTGCAAGTGATGGGATAAACATACACTATAAAGAAAACCAGCTTCTTCATATGTAAAGGAAATACAACTTTTAGACAAAGTAAGAAAAATGAAAATGAATTTCAACATAGATGAGCCTATCTACGGGTAGTAACGCTTGATAAACTTTGCATTGAGCGGGCCAGTTCGGAAGCCATCTTCAACCCTTGCAAGCCTGTAGTACCCGATTGAGCTTGCTTGAACCACCCTGTAGGGCCCTTCTCACTTTGGAGAAAACTTGGGCGAGGGTTGTCCTCGCATGATTGGGTCTACGATCTTCCATACTAGATCACCTTCTTCGAACTTTCTTAGCACCACAGTTTGATTATAGGCTCGGGTGATGGACTCATGATACCTTTCCATGACTTTTGCAGCTCTGTCATGCTTTTCCTCTAATGCTTCCAATCTGGTGGTTCAAGGTTCCAGTACCATCCCCGAGGCGAGAGCCATTTGAGTAGATGGTGTTTGCAACTCTATAGGTAACACTGCCTCGGACCCATACACAAGGGAGTAAGGAGTTGCTTGAGTTGGCTCTCTCTTTGAAGTGCGATATGCCAATAGGGCTACTATCAACTGTTTGGACCAAGTCCCCCCAAATTCATCCATCATCTTGCTCAGAATCCTTATCAATGTCTTGTTTGTGGCCTCCGCTTGCCCGTTCCCTTTTGGATAGTAGGGTGTGGATTTGTGATGCTTCACCTGGTAAGTCTCTAGGAGGCCCTTCACATATTTGTTTATGAAGGGAGTGCCATTGTCTGAGAGGATGGTATTCAGCACTCCGAACCGGCAAATGATATTTTCCTTCATGAAGTTCGCGACTGCGGGCCCCGTAGCGTTTTTCAGAGGGATTGCTTCGACCTACTTTGTGCTCAATTCTGTAGCTGCGAGAATCCACTTGTACCCCTTAGAAGGTGTGGAGATGGGCCCAATCAGATCAAAATCCCAGGTATGGAACGGCCATGGCGTTCGGATACTATGTAGGTCTACAGCTGGAGCATGGATCAAATTTCTGTGTTTCTGACAAGTCTGGCACTTCTTCACGTGATGGGACGCATCTGACTCCATGGCCGGCCAATAATACCCAAGGTGTATAAGTTGCTTGAACAGCCGAGCCCCTCATTGATGCTTAATTTCGTGGGCTCTTTCGAGGACCAGATCCGACTCCTCCTTGGAGAGACACCTCAGGGGAGTGCCCTCAATGCTTCTTCTATAAAGCTTGTTCTGATCAAGAAAATACCACCTCGCTCTCTTCTTGAGGTAAGCAATGTCCCTCGGGCTCTCAGGTAGTGTCCCCTCCTTGAGATAGTCAATATAGACTTGTCTCCAGTCAGGGGTATCAATTTCAAAGCAACCCTCATCCTCCCAGATGTATGACTGACACTTGGGGCATTCTTTCTATAATTGATTCGAGGCCTTCTCCATCTCGGGCCAATAATAGCCTTGTCTTTGGATCCTTCTGTACAGACTGATATCCCCATCCCCGCAGGACTTTTCATGAATCTATTGTAGTCGGAAGCTTGCTTCTTGTTGGCCAACACACCGGGCTAGGAATCCGGTACCTAAAGTTCACCTTGAATAATTATGAATTGGGCAAGCTTGGCCATAGTCAATTTTCCAACTTTGCTTCTGAGTTGTTCGAGGACTTCTCCTCTCCAGTCCTCCAGAAGGTCTTTGTCTTTGGGCATTATTGAAGGCTCTGTTCTCTTCTTAATAATAATTGTCGCCTCCTCCTCTGGAATATCAACTCTTGCCCCTAATGTTGCGAGGGCATCTGAAAACTTGTTGTCGGAGCGAGGCACATGCTCTATTTCGACCTTCTGAAATTTGTCCAGAAGCCTTTGGACTGTTGTTCGATATGTGGCCAAGGTAGGCTCCTTTAAGACGAACTGTCTTGAAACTTGCTTCACTATTATCATTGAGTCCCCCCGAATCCAAATCTTCTTAATATTGTGCTTCTCAGCTGCTATCAAACCTAAAATAAGAGCCTCATACTCGGCTTCATTATTCGAACAATGGAAATCTAGTTTATAAGACAAATATAACTTTTCCCCACTTTTGCTTATAAGGACTATCCTAGTTCCTCCTTTCCCTCTGGCTGCTGCTCCGTCAAAGCTCAATGTCCAAAAGCTTTCCTTGGAAGCCATAGTTGTATGCACCTCTCCTCTTAATTCTTCATTCACTGGTTCATAGTCACCACTTGGAAATTGGGCAAGGAGATCGGCTACGACTTGGCTTTTGATTGCCTTGGGAGCTACACATGTGATCTCAAATTCACCCAGTGCTAACAACTATTGTGGGGAAGTGGTTTGGAAATACTCTTCCAATCTTGGGGGACGCCAATGATCCTCTGCTAGTCACCTGAAAAGGAATAAGCGTCCCGGTCAGAGGTGCCGAAATTAGCACTCCGATGGTCAAGTCAGTCTCTACACTCAAGATAACTTGTATTCTAAGTTAAGCACAGTAGTTCCCACATACCTTTCTTTGACTGTTGTCCCTCTATTTATACTCATTTCCAGGGCCTCGAGGCCTGTTCCACTTTTGGCTCACAAACTGCTTCTTTGTTCAGCCCCATAGTTACTCGGCCTGTTAATTGAAGTCGGCCTCCGAATTGTGCAGGTTAGAGTTGAGCAACGTCCATCTTTTAGAGCGTATGCTTCTGATTCTGCCCAATTATTCGGCTCCCACAATTGCCCCCCAAACTCCCTGTTGACGGCAGTTAACTGGTGTGTTTGGTTTCGAATTTGGAAAGTCAAGAGAAACATAAATTAGGCGGCTTCACCTATCCCAATGTGAATGTCAGAACACACACGCCTTTCGGTCATCATTATACGCTCCCACCTCGTTCGTGCATCTTCTGTATTTATTATGATTTGAAACTTTAGTCTCTTTGAATGCATGCTTTTTGAATATTAGAACCTCCTGGATTGCCAGCTGAAATCCCTCTATTTCGCGTCTTCTGCAACTTCTTTCCGTCTCTTCCTGTCTCCTTTGCCTCTCGTAAGTTTTCTTCTCCTTTTTGTAATCCTATTTTTCGTGTTCGTTTTTGCTTTAAAATACCCGAATCCTTACTAGAATGGCTAAGCATTTGAAAGACCTCCTTTCCGAGGGTCGTATCTCTGGGTTCCGGAGACATTTCTCTATCCCTGATGATGTCCACATATCTCTAGTGACAGACAATTCCCTTGATATGGAGAGAGAGGACCAAAATACCATCGTCTTTCCTCTCCTATCCATTGCGGAGGGCGGGATTCGCTTTCCCCTGCACCCATTTCTTAGGGCCGTCCTCCGCCATTGGGGTCTCATTCCTTCACAACCCAATGTAAATTTCTTTCAAATCATAATGGGAATCGTAGAATTGAACCGGTGCCTTAGGATCAACCTTGGCATTCCGGTGATTCGGCACTGCTACGCTCTGGCCAAATCCTCCAGTCGGATCAGGCACTTCTTTCTCAAGGCCAAGGACACTGACCATCACTTGGTAACCATGCTTGCCAGTTCTGGCAAACGAGTTGACGATGTAATGGTCAATGTCTGTGGCAACTGGGAATTCGACGAGGGCAAAGATCGCCTAGACCCTGTTCGTAGAAAGAGGGGTGAACTAGGTGGCCGTGTAACTCCTTATGTTTATTGATCTTTCTTCTATTCAGCTTTCTCTTCAAGTCTAATTCTTTGTTTTTGTAGGCAATAAGTTGAAGAAAATTTAGACTTTGGCTGATAATGCAGTCCTCACGGAGATAAAGACTGCACTCAAGTATTTTGGCCGTCCAAACGTACAGAAGTAAGGGAGAGCTACCCATATACTTCTGCGGTACGAGCCCACTTATACTACGTTCTCGGCCGCAGACGACATTTCGATCCCATCCAGCAAACACCACCTTACAGCCCTTATCTTCCCCAGCTTCAAGACCCTCAGGCAAATTGGTCTTGAAGCTTCTGATTCGGAACAAGACGTAGAGACGGTGGTCGAGGTAGTTGTCGAACCGACGAGAGAGTTCACTGCGGAGGCTGAAGAGGTCGACGAGGCTCTGAACTCGGCGTTTGAGGCAGCCGGTCTTAACCAACCTGACTCACCGTCCACTTCGGGTTAGGCAGAGTTTTCTTTCAGAGATATTTTTACAAGGTTGGGGGATCTACTAGGCGATTTTTCTGAAGGTATGGCTGGGGAAAATCTAACGCAGATGGCGCGAAAGAGAAATGCCGAACGCATGGCAGCGCGACAGAAAGCCGAGGCCAGCCGTTTTGGGCCTGCCTCGATTGAATCTTCACAACCCGTGATAGTAAAAGAGACGGCTCAAGTTGTTTTGGCCGAGTCGGATAAGGAGGCTGAACAGCAGATCCAGGAAGAACGACTGATTCATGAAGAGCGGGGCGAAAAACATACCACCGAGGGAGAGGCCGGCTCGGAGGAGAACCCTGTTAACAAACGGCCTCGTCTAGAGGAGTCGGATGTGGTTCTTCCTTTTGTTATTCAGCCAAAGATCAAAAACACGCCGATCTCCTTTGACGCATCCGCCTTGAAGGATCCAGCGGTAGCGCTGAGCTTGGCCGCCTCAGTCTCGTTGTCGGCTGACAAGGCCACCTTTCGAGCAGAGCTGGATTTGGTAGCTAGAGCGTTAGCTGCTCAGTTGGCCCTCCTGGTATGTGGCTTGTTCTTTTTTACTCCTTGCTTGGTTTGGTTTGCATACGATATTTCGTGGTATGTGATGATCCTGACTCCGTGTTTTGTAGACGGTTGGGAGGATAGCCAAACTAGGTCGCTGCCAGCACGAAGCCATTGAAAGAATTGGTCGCTTGAAGTCGGAAGCTGAAGGTGAAAGGAGCAGGGCCGAGTTCGAGGCGATGAGAGCCGCGATGGAAAGTGCTCGAGCTGAAGCTGAGAAGGAGAGGGCTCAGACTGCCGACCGGCTCAGGTGCGACGCCAAGGAGAGAGCTAACGCAAGCGAGGAATCGCTCAAGTTAGCCAAGGAGGCGCTCGCCAAGGTGGAGGCCGAGTTGGAAGAGTTGAGGAAGGCCAAGGAAAAAACCGACTCTAAGGCTTCTGCGGCGTTCGAGGCTGGAAAGAGCACCGCCCTTGACAACTATGTAGAAGAAGTCCCCAAATTCGAGAATCGGGGGTTCAAACATGGGTGGCTCAAAGCCCTTGTTGTCGCTGGAGTTACATTGGCCATGCCAATTCCATACGAGCAAGTGAACGTTGAGCCATTTGAGTTTGATCCTGAGGATTAATTTGGGGGACATTCTAGTTTTATTAAGGCCATCTTCAACCCTTGCACGCCTATAGTACCCGATTGAGCTTGCTTGAACCACCCTGTAGGGCCCTTCTCACTTTGGAGAAAACTTGGGCGAGGGTTGTCCTCGCATGATTGGGTCTACGATCTTCCATACTAGATCACCTTCTTCGAACTTTCTTAGCACCACAGTTTGATTGTAAGCTCGGGCGACGGACTCATGATACCTTTCTATGACTTTTGCAGCTCTGTCATGCTTTTCCTCTAATGCTTCCAATCTGGTGGTTCAAGGTTCC